TCTTATTCTTATTAATAGAATTAGATTTTTTTGAGGCGACTGCTCTCTTCTTAGATCTATTGTGTCCACTCCTGATTACATTCTCGCCAGGTTACATTATTGTTAGTTTCCAGTAGATAGTATGCAGAAAAAATATCGTAGCTGTTTGAAAATGCTCGAAAGGAAACAATTATGTTTTTGCGACGTTTCGCGACTTTATTGTCGCTTCTTCAGGCACCGAAACATATATTAATCCAATCCAATGTTTTTATGACAATAAAGTCGCGAAACGTTGCAAAAAACATAATTGTTTCCTTTCGAGCCTTCCCAAACACCCACGATTTTTTTTCTGCATTCTGCAGTATGATTCTTTACAAAAAGTTTAACAACTTAGAGAGAACCATCTATACAGGGTGGCCCATCGAAAACGTTCCGCAAGGCATAACGGCCAGGGTAATTTTTTTCAGAAAATTCAAAAACACGTCAATTTTGTTTGTGAGGGGGACAATTTTTGCCCCAAAAATGATTGCAAAATCTTCAACCCTCTAAGCGGGGGTGTCATCCCCCAATTTTTTTCAAATGGGAAGGGGGTCAAGTGGTACCGCATTGAAAAGGGCTTTCTATTCTCTATACTTTCCCGCTTCGTTTTTGAAAATCGGTCGAGCCATTGAGAAAATATGAAGGATTGATTTGAACAGTTTATTTAAACATTTATCAGAGTAAATGATAAGGATAAATTCCTTCGACCAATTTGCTGTTTTTTCTTATTATTTCTAGATGTTTACGCATTTTTTCACTTGCCACAAGGATGAACGATCGGGTTAGGTAGAGTGTACTTTCTTTTTGAAAGGTGTAGTTAATCGGCACAACTGTCGGTACTGGGCTGAGGACAACCCCAGGGTTTTTCACGAGGTGCACACACAAAACCCTAAGAAATTGAACGTGTGGGCTGGTATTTTTAGAAATTCTATTGTGAGTCCTTTTTTTCTTCCTGGAAATCTAACAGGTGATTTGTACTTGGATTTACTGGAAAATACCATCGACCCAGCTCTAACTGACATCATAGAGAACAATCCTGGATACGTTGAAGCGGAACTAATATTTCAACAAGACGGTGCACCTCCATATTACTCTCAAAACGTGCGTAATTATTTAAACAATAACTTTCCCGTTCGGTGGATATGGCGAAGGGGTACAATTGAGTGGCCTCCCCGGTCACCCGACTTGACTCCTTTAAACTTTTTTCTATGGGGACACATAAAAAGTAAAGTGTATAGCACTCTACCCGCCTCATTAGAATACCTGCGAAGACGAATTATTGATGTTTGTTGCGAAGTGACCCCGCAAGTTCTTCAGAACGTTCTAGAAAGGGTTGAAAATAATTTGTATTACTGTATGGAGGTTGATGGGCAACATTTTCAGCATTTTCTTCATTAATAAGATAAGTTTTTTTTAATTAATTCAATTTATGCGTTTTTTGCAAAAAAGTACTTTTCAAATTTCAGTCTTTCATATTTTCAAAATGACTGGACCGATTTTTAAAAACGAAGCGGGGAAATATAGAGAATAGAAAGCCCTTTTCATTGCGACGCCACTTGACCCCCCTTCCCATTTGAAAAAAGTTGGGGGATGACACCCCCGCTTAGAGGGTTGAAGATTTTGCAATCATTTTTGGGGCAAAAGTTGTCCCCCTCACAAACAAAATTGACGTGTTTTTGGATTTTTCGAAAAAAAAATACCCTGGCTGTTATGCCTTGCGGAACGTTTTCGATGGGCCACCCTGTATAGCTTTTTATCACTGACATTTCGTACTAACGTTAAATGTGTTTTGTCTTTGTTTTGTCGTTTCTTCTTCTGATTGACAAAATCTGCACCTGACTTCGTTCAATTACCTTTAGATGCCTATTTAGCGTACAATTTCCTGTTAGTAGATCCACCACAGTTTTGACAGTATACCTGTCTTTTCTTTATGTCTGTCATAAATTTTGGCGAATCTTTTAACTATGAACTTTCTTTTGACTATTTCTGTCCAGGTTTTTGCCACTATTCTAGAGATCCAAATTTGCTACTATTCTAGAGATTTGTTCGCCAAACACTGTTTTATGTCCATTCTTGTAACTCCTTTTGTTCCGCTACAGAAAGGTTGAATGCATTGAATGATATTGATGAGTTCCTTTATTAATAAAAAAATTACCTAGACCTTCATGTTTTCACAATCTGGGTCACTTATTATATATTAACGCGGATTTATTTCTTGAAAAAATCTATACTGATATATAAAATCCTTAAATGACTGACATACTGATTAATCACGATCCTGCTCAAACCACTCAACGTAAGAAGCTCAATTTTGGCATACAGGTTGATTCTAGGGTGTAGAGGTTCGATAAGAAGGGATTTTTCGTAATTAGAGTTCCAAGAGGGTGAAACCACCCCTCAAATATTACAATAATTTTTATTTAAAAAACGGTCAAGTTTCCGAAAAAACGCTTAAACACGTATATTTTATTTTGTTTTTTTACATATTATAAGATTTTTTAAAAATGTATACAGGGTGTTTCGAAAAATCAGGTCATTGATTAATCACGATCCTGCTTAAAGCGCTTCACGTAAAAAGCTGATTTTTGGAAAACAGATTGACTTTAGAGTGTAGAGATTCGATAAGAAGGGATTTTTCGAAACTCGAATTCTAAAGGGGTGAAACTATCCCTCAAATATTAAAATATTTTTTCTTTAAAAACTGGTGAGTTTTTCAGAAAAACTCTTAAACACGAATATTTTATTTTGTTATTTTACATATTTTAAGATTTTTTATAAATTTATACAGGGTGTTTTATAAAATATGACCACTGAGTAATCACGATTCTGCTTAAACTGCTTTACGTTTAAAGCTGATTTTTGGCAAACGGACTGACTGTAGGATGTAGAGGTTCGATAAGGAGGGGTTTCTCGAATCTCAAATTCCAAGAGGGTGAAAACGCCCCTCAAATATTACAATATTAGTTTTTAAAAAACGGTTAGTCTTTCGGTAAAACGCTTGGACAAGCATAATCTATTTTGTTTTTTACATATTTTGAAATTTTTTAAAAAATCATACAGAGTGTTCCAAAAAGTAGGGTAATTTCTTAACCACGATTCTACTTAAACTGCTTGACGTAAAAAGCTTATTTTTGGCAAACGGATTTTTCGAAAGTCAAATTCCAAAGAGATGAAACTAAAATAATTATATATATAAATATATTAAATAAAAGCACCTCCATTTCTTCGTGACAGAAGATTAAAATAAATTCGTAACACAAACCACAAACCCTAATACACAAAATGAAGACAATACACAATAAATACAACCCTTGTATATATCCGAAATCAATCAACAACAATCAGAAATCAATCAAAATACAACAATATAAACAAGGATACAACGTAACATTATTTCATCACAGAAAATACTCTTAGACCAGTTTTGATCCATACAAAACCAACATATTATACAGGGTGAGTCTTAAATAATTGCAAATATTTTTAGTTTTTTTTCGCGAAAAAACTTGAATTAATTAAAAAAAATTTGGAATTTTTTGAACATATTTTAATATTTTTTTGAATTTTTAGTTAAAATACATAATATGTCAAACATAGGTGTAGTAGATTAAATTTACAAGAAAGAAAACCCGGAAAAGATCCAGTGGTTCTCAAAATTTAAGCAGAAAAACATTTTTTCTTGCATTTTCAAAGTAAAATATTCCGTTATTTTGGACCAATTTGAAAAACGGCAAAGGGAAAATGTGTTTCTTTTATCGAGATCTACCAGCCCTGAAAATATTTGCATTTATTTAAGACTCACCCTATATATTGAACACTTAACAACAAAGAAAATATATGATTATTATAAAATGTACCATTGTGATCAAAAAAAGTAGTACAAGAATTAGTAGTCCCAGATAGAACTCCTGGTCTATAAGGATATTTGAATTATATTGAATTTTTTTTTTGATTTGCAATGTCCCTTTTGGGAACTCAATCCCTTAATCGCGTAAATATAATCGATTTTTGCTCTGAAGTTAAAGGCATTTTTTAAAAATTACGATAATTAGAAAAAGAATTTTTAAAAATTACGATAAAGAAACTGATATAGTTTATAATCATCTGCTGATGATGCTAACATGGTTAGCGAAACGCGCGTCCAGTGTAAAAGTAAAAGTTTTTTGGTGTATTGTGGTGATTTAGTGTTTTTATTTTGCTATGTAACACCAAAGGTTCTAACCCTCAACTGTAACCATTTAAATATGAATAAATACCCAGGAATCTTTGTAAATGTATGTCATGGCTTCTTTGATTTTTTAAACACTGCATAACAAAAATCTTAATAAAACTTTTTTGATGCAAGACAGTGTTATACAGCGTATTTTTTAAATACCAACCCTATTTTTTTTATGATTCTTTAAATTATATCATGAGTGTCATATTTCAGGTTTTTAGTCCTATAAAAATTGAGCGAACGGTTGTGGAGGTAAGAACTAATAAGATTGGAGTGTAGAGTAATTTTCGGCAAAGTAATTATACAGGGTGAGTCTTAAATAAGTGCACATTTTTTAAGGGTATCTATAGTATATCTTTCGATCCCCAGGAACAGATATATAAGATTTTTTTGTTGAAAATCTTTTATTTTTAAAAAATAAAATAACATTGCAATTTTTTTTTAAATTTTGTATTTTTGCAAATGTCCAAAACAAATTTCAGTTTCATTGAACGTATTGTTAGTTAATAAATAAATATTAAAGAATGAACATTGAATTCATTTTTCGACTTAGAAAATTATCTTAGGAATGATAATGAGTAAAAATAGTGATAAACAATAGTGTTGTATATGTAGTAATAAATAAAAAATGTCATTGTGTAAAAAGGATTGTCGATATACGTTCCCGAGTATATTTTCGAAAAATAGAATATATTTGATTTATACTGAAATTATTCCAAATTAAAAAATCGCCCTGTGTTGCTAAAAAAAGGAAGTCTGTACCAACCTGTCTCAAATTTACATGAAAATCAATTCACTGTCCGCGAAGTACCTTCACCAGTTGTCTTCTTCTAAATTTCTTCTTCTTTTAACCTATTCTTCTTCTAACAACAATGACACTTTTGCCAAATACCGAAGAACCAATCGCGACAATACTTTCATTCGAACTCGCGCCAAAATCAAGAGTGAACCGCGCGCTGCAGCGGTACTTTTTTGAGATGGTACCGTGGTACGATAGGCGAGCACCTGTTCGGACAGAGACTAGCGGCCGGCGCGAGCCCCACTGCTTTTTGCAGGACGGTTTGGTACTGCGCCCCCCTTTACTTCATTCAGGGGAATCGTATGTGATAGTGATAATTAACTATAATTGCTATATTGTTATCACTTGTCTGGGAGATACCGAAATGTTTTTTACCTTATTGATTATGTACAGGGTGTCCCATTTTCGTGTGTTTGATGGGGTTTCTCGTTTATGAGTGAAGATACAAAAGTATGCTACATTTTGCGCTGGAAGTATACCCTGTTAGTAAGAGCCATGATTACTTGTGGGGCAGTTGCTTGGTATACAAAACTAGAGCAACGTACGGCAAGGCTAAACCTGTGCAAGTCCAGAGACTGGCAGGCATCTGCATCGCAGAAGTCATGAGAACCTCTCCAACAGCAGCAATGGATGTCATTCTAGATCTGACACCACTGCACATTGTCATCGGTATATATACCAATGCGACAACAATTAGAATGGTCATTGATGAAAACAATACTGGGAGAATTGTTAGATCAGGGGCTTGGGATACCGTCAAAAAAGGAAATACGACTTCTCCAACTCCCAGTGGATGGCATACCAAGAATGTACAACTTTGAGACACATCTCAATGTAGTATGTAGTATTGAGCAATAAAAAGAATTGGAAAAGAGAAACGTTTGCTCAGCAGAAAAAAAACCATACCATAACTCGGTATACGATGCTTTCAAAACCAATGTAGGGGCAGGGATCGGAGTATTTGAGACAAGAACTAAATACTCCGAACCCATGGGCACCTACTCTAGCACCCTATAGGCAGAAATCTTCGCTATCGAAAGGTAATGATTAGGGATAGAAGGTAATGAGAAAGCAAATGGTCTAGCTAGAAAAGGAGCGAACACTTCACTAACCGGACCAGAACCGTACTGCTTTCCAAGCGGAAACCAAATAAGAGAGGAACTCAAGAACTTCGTATCCCCATCCGTAACCTGGAATGGGAATCCTGCAACGGCCTGAGACACTCGAAGAAGTTTCTAAGGATATACGACTAAGAAAAATCAAATACTTTCCCTGATTTAAGTAAAAACAATCTTCGAATTGTCACAGGGTTTTTAACAGGACACTATCTCCTCAATGAACACCTCTGTAGATTAAATCTATGGACAAACGGCGAATGCAGATTCTGTAGGGAAAATGGAGAAATACCAGAACACCTCATCACTGAGTGCGCTGAGACAACAACCATTCGTGCCATAAACTTTGGTACAACCCTTGTTTATCCATAATCAAGGGTACAACTGATATTTGAGATGGATAATTACCCTGGGACTGTATGATGAGTTATAACTCAAAAAAGGAGACACAATAGATCTGTGGGTCGCACTGATTAACCCCCCTCCCACTCATTCTACATTCTACATGCTATTTTTTATGAAACTAAAGATGCTACACACATATTTGTCTGTTTTGATAGGTTTTCCTGTTTTCTTGCGAATTTGAAAATGTTGAATCCTGCCTATCCAATTCTACTACATAATCTCACGGACATTTTTTGCTGGGACCTGTTATTTTTTAAATATTAGTCAAGCTTATGTTTTTTTTAATGGGTCGTCCTGTATATTATTTATTTGTTTTATTTGTTTATGTTGCTATGAGCTGCCTGAAAATATAATATATTCTATATTTATTTTCATTAATAAGGTAGAAAAATACATTATTAAACATTTAACTTAAATTGTCATATCTTAAAACTGTATTATTTTATGTTATTTAATTTAATCACATAATTTTGCCCTATTATTTTATGTTATTTAATTTAATCACATAATTTTGCCCTACATCGTATTATCTTAATAAACTCCACTGAAAATAAACTTGTGCAAGTTTTAGATAAGACATTTTTAACCAGAGTTATCGATATTTTTGATGCACTTGTGCAATCATTTCTCACACAGAAACTAGCGTCTTCCACAGTAGCTGTGCTAATGTCATAATGAACACTTAATATAATAATATTAATTATTATTATATTAAGTTATAATATTATTATAACACTTAATAAACAAAAATAGAAAAAAATAAGCAAATAAGCACTCATATGCCTTGATTATTATATTTTTATTCGTTTAGCATTTGCATTTTACTTTCCACAAACATAGATAACTTTGGTAAGTTTTAATAAATTGAAGGATGTACTTAAACAGCCGATAAACGGTAGCCTACTAAAATGCCGTTAATAGATATTGTGACGTCGTTCATGTCGGCGGAAAGTAATGCCTAGCCATAAGCATATTGCAAGAGCACCTGTGGCTCCGTGGCTGAGGCTATCGCTTCGTGAGCCTGCCGATATACTCACGGCTACCTATATATAATGAGTAATGTTCTAACTCAGAGCATAAATTAAATAACTATAGACGCTGACCACAAAGACACACAAAACGTAACATCAATTAACTCCTAAGATTCAGACTACTCTCAACCGTGTACATAAAATATGTACATCAGTTGCAGAATAGACTGAGGACTACTACATCACAACTAAACATACAAACAAACAATAAAATTACCGAAAACTTACTAGATATTACGAAGGTTTTTTAAGAGTTTTTTCCTCCGATTCTACGGATCTGATTTAAGTAACCAACATACTTATTAAAGTAAAGCACGTCGGCATTGCCTCTATACTCCCAATTCATGTGTGAGCAAAAGCGGAACATGCAGTCCTCGCCCGGTCAATAAAAGAGCTACCTAGGGCAAACATCGGCCCCCCTGTTCACAGGGTTCGCTTAGATAGTTGAGTGCTTCGTCAGAAGAACAACATACCATCTTATCATGTTATTTTATTTATTGTATATATTGTATATAGCACCTTTTTATTGTATTTAAGGAGACATTCTCAATAAATGCTTTGAAACTTGAAACTTGGTTCGTGAGCGAATGGTCCGGGGTTCAAATCTCACGCTGACCAACACTTTTTTATATTTTTTTTGCTGATAGCGTGATCTTATTGCATTGGTTTCACTCTTTTTGGTTGGATTGGTTTAGTTATTTGGTGGGTTGGTTAGCGTGGTTATTTGGAGGGTGTTAATTCATTGGTTAGTTGGTTATTTGGTGGGGTTGGTTGGTTTTTACTAATTTATATTTGTTTTTTAAATTTTATTATCAGTGTCGAGGTTAGTTGCGTTGGTTATTTGGTGGGGTGGATAGCTTTGGTTAGTCCTTATATAATTCCTATATTTCATAAAGCCGTCAAGTGCGTCACATCAACGACGTCATACCTATTAACGGCATTTTAGTAAGCTACCGTTTAACAGCCTAAATTGAAATTAAAAATTCTAGATATATTTTGTAAGGCTCGAGTATTTTGGTTGAGATCTAGTTGCTAATTCGCGTAAACCCACTAACGAAAAAATCAAACCTGGAGATTTTATTTGTACGAGTTTTTTATTAAACCATATCCGACTTGTAATTAACAATACACTCACCAATATTTTTAGGAATTTGGCTCGCCACGCATTAGATAGGGTAATCCGCTGGTGTATTGGGGCTATCCCCTAATACAAAGTGTACAATCAGTGTTCTACTCTAAACTGTTTTTTATCTTTTTATGTGTATATGTTTTTTATCTTTTTATGTGTATATCATTATCATCATCATCATAATCATCATCTTCAGCTTATTCAACCATTTCCAATTATGGTGTAGCCTCCTTTAACATCAGTGGCAAAATATGTCTTTTTGCGGACGACACTAGGAGGACAAGGTCTAAAATTGTAAAATTGTCGTCGTAAAATCTGTAAAATTCTTAGGGCTTGTTGTTGACAATTCTCTGAAATGGGACATACATATCGAAGCTTTGTCGAAAAAATTGAGCTCTGCCTGTTTTGCATTAAGGTCTGTTTCTAAGGAGCTTAACTTGTCAGTGGCTAGAACTGTTTATTACGCACTTTTTGAGTCGCACCTCAGGTATGCCCTTCCATTCTGGGGTACGTGTTGTGCGACCAAATTTGACCGCATTTTCAAGCTCCAGAAGAGAGCTGTTCGATATTCACTGGGACTAAACAGCAGAACTCATTGCCGGGACTTTTTTAAAGAGTTAAAAATATTGACTCTTCCTTCCTTATTTCTATTTGAACCCGTTGCCTAATCCGTAAACATGTATCAGCTTCTCAAGAAAGGCCATCTCACGCTTATCCACTCAGGAACGCGGAGCAAGATCTTTATCTACCTACCCCACGCTCAGAGTTAGTTAAAGTAGTAGTGGGAACTATCGAACGAATACTATCGAAACATTCGATAGTTGTAATTCATTCGAATAATTCGATAGCTAGTAAGAAAACATTCATTCGTCGAAAACTATTCGAATAAAAAATATCGAATAGATGCGTCATCTGCCTTGAAATATATTAATTCGGCAACAAAAAACCATTCATTTATAAGATTCATTCATTTGTAAAATTCATTTATTCGTCAGGATCGATTATAACATAAACTGGATTTTTAGTTGTCGCCCGGCGACGTAGGTTTTCTTTTCTAGAAACCCGACAGCGGTCGGCGGTCGGCGGCAATGGTATGAAAAAGCCGGCATCTTTGATTTTGAGTCAGATAAAGATAAGGACACATTATTTTTTATTGAGGTGTTAGTATTTACACAAAAATACATTATAAACGGCGCTGTTGCCGTATATTCGTATTAGTTGGTATTAGCAAAGAATATTATTCTTTGGTATTATAGTTAGTTAGGGATTATGACCTGTGGTATGACTATATATTTTGCATTTTTTTTATTAATATTAGCTCGACCGGACTAGAACACTGCAATAATACTTTTTATTTTGGACGTAGGAAAATTATTTTTAATGTTTTTAAGCAAAACTGGTTTAATAAATAATAATAACAGTAATAATTTGTTATACCTATTAACACCAAAATTTAAAATCATTTAATATAAACATTTTTTTAAGTAGTAGCAAAATATAAACAACAAATTAGAAGTCAAAATTATTTATATTAGATCCTATTTAAAAATAA